TTCAACTTTGTTAACTTCACATCCACCCTTCACAAGGCACTCATAGGCGCGCATTTATTCACCGACACACCAAGCTCCGCCTCCTTGGCACGCCCACCTTGCACCTTTTGCAAAATTTTGATCTTTCTTCTAAATTTTCTCATTTGTGTACTGCCACAGGGAGCCCGCCCACCAAGAGAAGCTCCACCTCCACCATCTTTTGGAAAATGATGCGGATCGGCAGCATTAAGTCTGAACTGGCATGTTAGGGTCTCATACGTCAGTCTGAACGACAAACCAGGCAAAGTTTGCTCGGCCTGCGAGGGAGACCTTAGCATGCCAACTCAGACTCTAGGCTGCCAGTCCGCATTAATTTTCAGAGGTGTGCGGGGCTTCCTTTGGTGGGCGAAGGTTCCTATGGCAGTCCAAAAATGTGAAAATTATGAAGAAATATTGAAATTTGGCAAAGTGGGTGTGGCAAAGGAGTGGAGCTTAATGTGCGGATGCATAAATGCGCGTCTAAGGGTAACTCGTTTTGTGAAGAGTGGAAATCGTGGTCGTCTGGGCACACCTTGCGGTGGTGTCTAGCGTGATCTGACTGATTAATCGCCCGGTCTAAAAAGTGTGGTGAATTTGATTTAAAAGTGGTGAAATTGGTTTGTGAAGTGATGAAGTGGTGAAATTGGTTTATGAATTTGGTTTGAAAAGTGGCGTATTGAAAGTGGGATGGTACAATTAAGCAAAATCCATAAAAAGGCTCGCTGATGCTGAAACATTGATTTTTCATACCGTAGGAGTCATTTCATGAGTCTCCGGCGTTCTATAGTGAAGATTGAGTACGTAAACCGTAAACACTGTGGATGCAGTTACCACTATCATACAACAAGTGAAGAAAATTCCTAAAAAAGCGACGACAAATGGAAATAATTAGAAATGTGAAGTTTTTAACGGCGCTTATAACATTGGCGTGGGGGGTGGCACACGGGTAAGCATTCATGAGCATATTGAATACTGTAAAGTGTACACATGTGTATATATGTACATGTGTATACATATGAATATCGGACAAGATTGTCAATACCCTGTTAATATATACAACATACATTTATATTATATAACATGGGCCGGCTTCGCCGGCCGATCCTCCTTCCGCGTGTGAAGTGGGTCCCAGTGAGAAGTTTTCCATGAGAGGGAGGGCCAGTCGGATCGGCTTTCATGAACGGAATTCGACGCATCCCCCCCCTAGAAGACAGTCATCAAAATTTTCTATGCGGCACTCCCCTTAGTGATGAGGAATCGCAGAATAAACTATTGCCGACGGTACCAACCATTTGGTATACTCCCTACGGTTATCCCTCACTAACTTCATCTGCCAAACCATTGCTCAGTTTCACCTTACTCCCCATTTCCTGGGTTTTTCGGATGCGTTTTGAGGGTTTTGTCCTCGGCACCGTTCACTTCGGCGAACGCCCCGCCCATCACTTCATTGATTTGTGCTTTGTGCTTCACTGATTTCGTCCGCCAACTGATTGCCTATCGTTTGCCACTTTTTCCGCTCTCCGGGCTCTTTGGAACCGAACTACGAATTTTTGAAATATGTAGCTCACAACTGTGCGCACGCCCCGCCCACAGTGGGCGGGGCTTAGCTCAGTTGTTCCGTACATCTTGGCCCATGCCCTACCCATCCCAACCTTGACCCGCCCCCTGAAACTGGCTCTTCAGGTATTCCGAATTTCCGGACAGACAGACAGACAGACAGACAAACAGACAGACAGACGTTGCCGTTTATATATAGTAGGATATTATTTTGGCGGAGGTGGTGTAGTGACAAGTGGCGCGCTTACCACTCGCGCGGTCCTGGGTTCGAATCCCAGGTCGACACCCGCCCAGGCCAACCAAGCCTTCTACCCGGGGACGGTAAATTGGTACCAGATTCGTCTGGGAGGATAAAACACTGACTTGTACATCGGCTGGCCATTGTATAGGCCACATCGCATTCAATAAGCCACTACGATTCTGAATGGAAGTAGAATGCGTGCCGCATCCCACAAAGGGATTGATCAACGGCGAAGACTTTATCCTTTTTTATCCTTCAATATATTTATTTATATTATATATCATTTATATTTTAGGTGATAACAATACCTTATCACCTATCAAGCTCCCTGAAATCGCTGGTCAAACTGTTCGAAATCATCGGGCTTAGAGGCAGTTGGCACGATAAATTCCCAAGACGACTAGGATCAATACTCCTGGC